AAATTACTGGGCTCAAGCCATCCTCCTGCCTCAGCCTCCCGAGTAGTTGGGACTGTAGGTGTGAGCCACCATGCCCGGCCCAACGTGGGCATTTAGAGTCCCATGACTCGGCCTAGCGCTGAAGCAGGGCTTTGTGGGCTGGGGCCTTATTGTTAGTGCTGGAGCAGACATCTTTTCAACAAATGGAAAGGTGACATCAAAGTGCTTCCACTAAAGACAGCAGCAAACAAGAACCCACTTTCTAGCTTATGTAATGCCCAGCCTGGAGGGGAAAAGCAGATTGTGTGGTCACGGCTAATGGGGAGAACACTGCTCGGAGTGTGAAGGGAATGAAGACACCCCTTTGTGCCAAAAGAAGAAAAAAAATCTGAGCTACTACGCGGGAGGGCTTGTGAGGCTCCAACCTCTAATTGGAGAAAAGAGGGGTTACTCTGGGTCTTAGTAGACCCTTCCTGAAGCCTGAAGACCCTTCCTAGAGCAACCATTGATGATAAATAAGCGAGGGAGATACAGACGTCCTCCTTGGATTAGCAAATTGTGGATCTGCAAGGATTTAGAAGCCAACATTGAGGGCAATTCAATTCTTCTAGACCTTTTTCACAAAGCATCTGTTTTATTCATTTCCCAAGGATTACAAATACAGTGTGTGCCCAGTAACCAGGTAATCCACTCTTTTTTTTTTTTTTTTTTTTTTTTTTTGAGACAGAGTCTCACTTTGTTGTCAGCCTGGCTCACAGCAACCTCAATCTCCTGGGCTCAGCAATCCTACTGCCTCAGCCTCCCGAGTAGCTGGGACTACAGGCATGCGCCACCATGCCCGGCTAATGTTTTGTATATATATATATTTTAGTTGGTCAATTAATTTCTTTCTATTTTTGGTAGAGACGGGGTCTCGCTCAGGCTGGTTTCGAACTCCTGACCTTGAGCGATCCGCCCGCCTCAGCCTCCCAAAGTGCTAGGATTACAGGCGTGAGCCACCGCGCCCGGCGGTAATCCACTCTTGGCTATAAAAAAGCTACTTGTGTTTCTTTGGGTTCTACCTTTCTTCACAGAAGGGTACTCTCTGTCAAAATACCCCCATGCAGTTATAGAGAACACCCCCAGGACAGTCTTGACTCCTTTCTTGCTTTTGGTTTTGTTGCCAATTCACACATGCTTGTGATAGCAGCTACCCTTTTTTTTTTATTTCAATAGATTTAAGGGGTACAGGTATTTTTTTTTTTTTTAGACAGAGTCTCGCTTTGTTGCCCAGGCTAGAGTGAGTGCTGTGGCATCAGCCTAGCTCACAGCAACCTCAAACTCCTGGGCTCAAGCGATCCTCCTGCCTCAGCCTCCCTCATAGCTGGGACTACAGGCATGCACCACCATGCCCAGCTGATTTTTTGTATATATATATTTTAGTTGGTCAATTAATTTCTTTCTATTTTTAGTAGAGACGGGGGTCTCACTCAGGTTGGTTTCAAACTCCCGACCTCGAGCAATCCGCCAGCTTTGGCCTCCCAGAGTGCTAGGATTACAGGCGTGAGCCACCGCGCCCGGCTTACAAGTATTTTTTGTTACATGGATGAATCGTATAGCGGTGATGTCCGGGCTTTTAGTATTCCTGTCACCAGAATAGTGCACATCATACCCAATAGGTAGATTTTTATTCCTCAAGCCCCTCTCCCTCTCACCTTTAGTTTTCAGTGTCCATTATGAATCTTATGACCATGTACACCTCTCCTTCAGCCCCACTTATTAGTGAGCACATGTGGTATTTGCTTCTCTGTTCCTGAGATACTTCACGTAGCAAAATGGTCTCCAGCTCCTTCTAAACCGCAGCGATGCGTTTACCTGTCAGCACCTGAACTCTCCCCTCAGTTGAGTCCAGTCATTAGCTTTATGAGCCATCTGCCAATTCAGAAGAAACCTGGCAAAAACAAAAAAGCTGTCCTTTTTCAGATGACACTCCCCATACTTCTTTTTCCTCTACCATGTCATTAATTTAACCAAAGTGTGCCTACATGATCTGAGCTGTATATGCACCTACTGTCAAACACTACTCCTTTCTGGAATTGGGGTCCTCCCTAGGCTGCGCCGGCTCCCCACCTGCTACGCCTGCCGTGGACGCCGCCCTTGCTGCTGCAGAGCTCTCGCAGGCCGATCGCCCTTCCGGCCTCTGCTTCGGCGGCTCAGCCAGGCTGGTCCCATCCGTCTGAGAAGTGGATGGACTGCGAGGATTTTAGGGGTTCCTTAGTGCTCTGGGCTTTTTATTTTTTTATTTTTTGAGACATTGTCTCACTCTGTCACCTGGGCTAGCGTGCCATGGCATCAGTTTAACTCACAGCAACCTCAAACTCCTGGGCTCAAGCGATCCTCCTGCCTCAGCCTCCTGAGTAGCTGGGACTATGGGCATGCACCACCATGTCTGGCTAATTTTTCTATTTTTGGCAGAGACAGGGTCTCGCTCTTGCTCAGGCTGGTCTTGAACTCCTGACCTCAAGCAATCCTCCAGCCTCTGCCTCCCAGAGTGCTAGGATTGCGGATGTGAACCACCGCGCCGGCCCTTTGCTTGGCTCTTGGCTCTCTGAGGGTACTGTTTTGCAGAGCCTTCCCAGGCCTAGGTCATCAGACTGTTCTTGCTTCATTCTAAATCACTAAGGCTCCTGTGTTTTTGAAAACTAACAAGAAATAACGCATGAACTTGTCCAAAGAACTTCCAAGTGGAATAGCAGAAAGCATTGTGTCTAACTGACCTGGCTCCAGGCCCTGGCTCAGGGGTGTGACCTCAGGCTTCTTTCTTGCCTGACCCTCAGTTTCTTCATGTGGAAAGATAATACTTCCTCAAGCTGATGTGAAGTAGAATGATAGTCTGCACGTGCATGTAGTCTGGCAGAGCGCTGACACCTCATCAGTGACAGCAACACGTTCTACACTCAGTAGTGCCAGCCAGTCCTGACTCTCCTGCTTTGTGTGTGAAGTCCTTCATTACTGAATTCTGACTTAACGTGCCCAGGACTAGAGCATCAGCTCCTGAAGTTGGGACCACATTTTGTCTTTGTAGCCTACCTCCAGACAATGTCTGGCAAAGAACCTGCATTTTGAATAAATGAATGAATAAATGCATGTTTGCTATGGATTTAAATGTGGATGTTTCATATTAGAATTTTAGATTAAGAATTGAGAAAAACCAGAGATCTAGCCAGAACTGGTGGCACACAGGGAGGTCTCAGTAAGGCCAATAGAGTGAGCACATATTTGGTAATGGGAACTTTTGTTTTTCATTCCCATTCTTGTTCTAGCACCCGGCTCATTAGACAAGCCAGGTGGATACAGTCCAGAGTTTTGGAGCCAGCACAGTGGCTCATACCTGGGAGGACAAGGGAAGGATTGCAAATTAACCCGGCATGGTGGCGCATGCCTGTAGTCCCAGCTACTCAGGAGGCTGAGGCAAGAGGATCGCTTGAGATCGGGAGTTTGATGTTGTATGTAGTGAGGTAAGATGATGACACGGCACTCTAGCCAGGGCAAAAGGGCAAGACTCTCTAAAAAAGGATAGTTTTGGTTCTGTATTGATATAGTCTGAATTTCAGATTGTTTCTGCAATTTACGTGTGATCTTGGGCCAGTTACTTAATCTAAACATCTACAAAATAAAGTTTTCTCATCTACAAAAATAAAGGTATGAATAATACTACCTACATCATAGAACTGTTGAGACTTAAGATAATGCATGCAGAACTCTTAGTGCAGGGCTCTGTGAAAAGTAAGGAGTCCCAATAAATGTCCATTGTTTTCAGTGCACCACACTTACCTGTGGGTTACACAGATGCTCTGTCTTTGGCTGTTTGTTTTAAATAAAGCTTCTCAAGCTCAAGGACTCTCTCTGCTGGTCTCTCTCCATTTATCAAGTACTAGGTTTAGGGAACAGAGAAATAAATGATCTTTCCTGCCCTTAAGGAGTTACAACCTCATGGGGGACCAAACAGTGCCTATTTACCAAACAATATGGTTAGGGCTACCAACGAGGTCATCACTTGTTCTCAGAGTCCAAAGAAGTGGCAACAGAAGGCTGGTGTGAGCCTTGAAGGACAAGCAAACCAGACCAGAAATGGGGAAAGGGGTCCAAACAGAAGAGAGAACTGTGCAAAGCCACTGATGACTTCTTAGGACTTAGTCTTTAAAGGTTCTGGGCCCAGCCTTCCTACTGCCCTGACAGGTAGATATCTTAATGAACGGACTGAGTTGGCAGATGGAGCCAGACTACTTAGGACACCTGCCAGGAGTACTGAAACCTCTGTCCAGATAGAGTGGTAATGTAACAGCAAACAGCAATTTTGGGGAGAGTGAGAACATACTCTATATATCCAGCAGACGTAAGAACTGAGATATGAGCTGACAGATTTGGGAGTTTTCTGCATTTACATGGCGGTCATAGCTATTGGCTAGAGTTTGTAGGCAAGGGGAGTTGAGAGGCCGGTGGGAGTACACGATCTATTTAATGTCTAGCATCACATCCATGTGTTATGTTTTTCACTTTAATTGCTATGTTGCCCAGGCTGGTCTTGAACTCTTGGCCTCAAGCAATCCTCTTGCCTCAGCCTCCCAAGCGCTGGGATTATTAGGTGTAAGCCACTGCACCTGGCCTTACTCTACATTTTAAATCAATGATTCTTTGAGCAACAGATTTCAGGACACTGGGAATTTTCCTAGGCAAGAGGGTCAAGAAGGGAAAGCAAAGTACTTTGAAGATGAAATTAGGTCTGCAGAGCAGGTCTGCCAATCCCACAGAGGATTCCACTCTCCACCCTCAGCAGTCTGGGTGTTGCTTTCTACTTTATTGTACTAAATTTACCCAAGTGACACATTTGAGGTTACCAGGACTGCCTAAGAGCCCATGATACCAGCTACTTGAGACCGACTATCTGCCATCAGATCACAACCAATTCCCACTGTGAAACTCTGTCAGCAGTTTCTAATGTAGGGTCAACACCTCTGAAAAAGGAGTCTGAATGTTGCACATGATTAGATTCAGTGACTATTTTATTTATGAGTAACTGTACAGGATTCAAGTGTCTAATTTTGGTCCTATGTACAACAGTAAAAATTAAAAATGAGTAATTCAGCTTACAATAAAAGATATTTCCATCTCAACTTTTATAATATACTATGTTAACTCAGACCTTTTTAAAATTATTTTTCAGATGAAATTTTAAAGTAAGTTCCCCAGTACCCAGGTTACCATATTATATAGTATAAAGACAGTGAAATATAAAAATACAACAAATACTAATACATTGTGGTTAATAGTTCAGTTTACTAGCTGTTTTAATAAAGTAAAACTTTATAGTGAAAATAATGTGCTAGAAATGGCTTTTTAAAGGCTTTCTTTTATATGATTACAAAGTGATATGCTTACAAAATAACAGACATGGGTGAAGACATCCTCAATGACAATACACAGTGGCCTGTGAGCAAAGCTGCGCAACACAGAGACAGGCGGCTGTGGAAAGCAGAGCCTGCTTAGGGTAGCTTCTAAGTATTACTGGTCTTAAGTTTAACGACGCTAAAATCTCTTTACCACCTATTTTAACATTTCGAAGGGGAATTCCTTTGGCTCTAATGATACTTAGTCCAGTGCCACCTTCCCTTTTTGATGCCTCTTCATTCTTGAGTAGGGACTTATTGTATCGTCCGTCACAAAATCATACAGTACTTTGACCCAGGAATTGTAGTGGGGGAGGTTGTCGTAGTATTCAGCTGCTATTTTCCTCACCTAGAAGGGAAAAAAATAAATCAAGAACAATGAACGTTATTGGGTCCTATCAAAGATGACAGATGAATGTTTGATACAAACACCGAGAAGGAAAACCAAGAGACTTCTCTCCCTGCTCCCTCTTTAATCAAACAAATAAATAAAAGCCGTAACAGCTTAGGAAATTCTAAACAAGAAGTCTGCATTTCAACACCTGAATACACTTGGCCTTCCAGTATTACTGACTCTCCCATCAAGTTCTGAGGGACTAAACATCTGATTTATTTGTAAAATTAACAACAAATATATGTAATTCAATTAATCTGATACTATTATTAAAGAAAGCACTACATAAATGGATTGTAGGGTATGAAGTAGCACGTGACCCTTGCCATCCAGGAACTTAAAAATACTAATAAATTGTGGCATACAAATTAGATAGAAATTTAGCACTTATTAAGTGTGCAGTTCTACCATCTCAAGTTGAAAATGTCTTTTAAAAAACTATCCTGGCCGGGTGTGGTGGCTCACACCTGTAATCCTAGCTCTCTGGGAGGCCGAGGCAGGCGGATTGCTCAAGGTCAGGAGTTTGAAACCAGCCTGAGCAAGAGCGAGACCCCGTCTCTACTATAAATAGAAAGAAATTAATTGGCCAACTAATATATATAGAAAAAATTAGCCGGGCATGGTGGCGCATGCCTGCAGTCCCAGCTACTTTGAGAGGCTGAAGCAGGAGGATTGCTTGAGCCCAGGAGATTGAGGTTGCTGTGAGCTAGGCTGACGCCACGGCACTCACTCTAGCCTAGGCAACAAAGCGAAACTCTGTCTCAAAAAAAAAAAAAAAAAAAGAAACAAACTATCCTAATAAATCTCAAAACAAAAAAGCAGAATCCAAAATAGTGAAAAGAGACAGAAAGGAAAAGAAAAGTTAAAATTTTAGTTACTGCTTCAATTTAACAATATTTTCTGGTTCTGTAGTAGTAGAAGATTAATATACACCCCCCTCAAGGAACAATTAAGGCGAAACACAGGCCTTTCCTGTGGGTGCCCTCAATCAAAACAAAGAGCGATATAATACCAAATCACACAAAGGACAATATCTTTGATCACAGTCCTTCAAAACTTCCTAAAATCCCTTCATGAATAAGGATGATCTACGGACCACACATACAATAAACCTGGATCATATTCCCTACTGAATTTTTTTTTTTTTTTTTTTGAGACAGAGTCTCGCTTTGTTGCCCAGGCTAGAGTGAGTGCTGTGGCGTCAGCCTAGCTCACAGCAACCTCAAACTCCTGGGCTCAAGCAATCCTCCTGCCTCAGCCTCCCGAGTAGCTGGGACCACAGGCATGAGACATCATGCCAGGCTAATTTTTTGTATATGTAGTTTTAGTTGGTCAATTAGTTTCTTTCTATTTTTAGTAGAGACGGGGTCTCATTCAGGCTGGTTTTGAACTCCTGACCTTGAGCGATCCACCCGCCTCGGCCTCCCAGAGTGCTAGGATTACAGGCGTGAGCCACCGCATCCGGCCTTAGATTCCTTTTAAACTGAGCAAGTCAAGACTAATTTTGATCCCGTAACCTCAGAAGTTAGCACCTGTCTCAGATCTTCTACTCACCAGTGGAAGGCTCTTTCCAGGAACGCTGGGGAAGTCATGGTGCTCATTATGATAGCCCACATTGAAGGTAAGCAAATTCAGAGGCCCATAATAGGAGTAAGTCTCATGTCCCTTTAAGAACATGTAATGTTCAGCTATAAAATGTCCAGAAATTGGGTGCAAACCCAGACCAAGTAAGGATGCTGCCAACATGTAGACTAAAGATTTAACTCCCAAAAAGTAGTAAATTATAATGTCAAAAATGATCTGAGTCACAGTATTGATAATTTCTAGATAAGTAACTGGTTTGGGGTTGATGAACAGAGGTCGAAAAGTATAAAAGAGAGGCTGAAGAATAACCCATATGAACTTTCTGAAAGTGGTACAGAAGAACCAGCCCTCAAAATCGGTAGGAATATCCACATCGATGCCATTAGCTCCAAGGTATCGATGATGATCCATGTGATACCTCTTAAAGGAAACTGAATATGGAACCCCAATAGGAAGGTTAGCAAACATTCCAAACCAGCGATTCCACATGGCTTTGTAGTGGCCAAAGGCAGAATTGTGGGAAATCTCATGAATAGCCAGAGTCATTGAGTGGTTAATGCAACTGCCAAAGGTATAGGCCCAAAATATGACCCATTTCCAGTCCAAATCTTTTACTAAGTAAAATGCAACCAACTGGATGAGGACCATCATAATTACAATCCATATCAGGTTGGAATCAGGTTTCATCAAGGATTTTATCTCTGGATACTTTGCTGTAAAGAAAAACCAAACAAAAAAAAAACAACTGAGAAAAGTATATAATGGTTTAGCAATTATAATCAACACCAATTAACTTAGCACACTAATTACAGTTTTTTCTTCTTCAAATCATAATATTCCCTCTATTACAGACTTTATCAAATATTTATCTACTATAGGGAAGGAGAATGTGCTAATAGTAAAGATACAAAATACCATGTCACAACAGTTTAAGAGTTTGTGCAGGAAAAATTAGCCTCAAACTCTTGAAACCTCCTATTATCTACTTTCAGAAAAACAATCTAGAAGCTCCACATTCTTTTATACTAAATATGTTATTTTTATGTTTAGACAGAGGTATACCATCTTTACATAAAATTTGATTAACACATCTGATGAAGGACAGAACATAACACACATTTTGTTTTTGTTTTTTTGTTTGGAGACAGTCTCTCTGTCACCTGGGCTAGGGTGCCGTGGCATCAGTCTAGCTCACATCAACCTCAAACTCCTGGGCTCAAGTTATCTTCCTGGCTCAGCTTCCAGTGTGCCTGGCCCACTTTGTAGGTACCCTAAAATCATGAAACTGGTATTCACAGTTCACAGACAAATCAATATGCTTCAAGTCATTATTTTAATTATTTTTATTTTTTTTAGAGGTGGGGTCTTGCTATGTTGCCCAGGCTGATCACAAACTCCTGGGCTCAGGCAATCCTGCCTCAGCCTCCTCAGCCTCCTGAATAGCTGGGATTACAGGCATGTGCCACTACACTTGGCTCTGCAAGTAATTGTGTACTGAATTTTACCAAAGCTGTGATAGTATATAAAAATCAGTACTACATGGTGCCAGTAGAAACAGAGAAAGAACAGCCTTTTCAACAAATAGTGCTGGAACAACTGGATATCAACATCCAAAATAAAGCTGGACCCATTCCTTACACCGTCCAAAGATGAACTCAAAATGGACCACAGATCCAAATGTAAGAAAACTATAAAAGTCTTAGATAAATTGGACTGCATCAAAAACTCTTCTGTTGCAAATGATACCATCAAGAAAGTGAAAAGGGCTGAATGCAGTGGCTCCTGCCTATAATCCCAGCAATCTGGGAGGCTGAGATGGGAGGATCACTTGAAGCCAGGGGTTTAAGACAAGCCTGGGCAACATATAATGAGACCATTCTCAATAAAAATTAGCCAGCAGTGGTGGCGCATGCCTGCAGTCCCAGCTACTTTGAGAGGCTGAAGCAGGAGGATCGCTTGAGCCCAGGAGTTTGAGGTTGCAGTGAGCCATGGTGACGCCACTGCACTCTAGCCCAGGTGACAGAGCAAGACCCCATTTCTAATTAAAAAACATAAAGAAAAAAAAAAACTTGACTAGCTGGGATTACAAGTGTGTGTCTCAACGCCTGGCCAGTTGTTAAACAACATACCCATGTTCTATCATGCCTCTCCCACCCTGCAAAAAAAAACCGAAGTGACAAATTTCAGAAAGATCTCTTATCTAAGTATAATTTAAACAAATCTCCAGATTTTTTATCTTACTTAAGGTTATTCCATCTCCTACCCTGAAATGGAAACCAGGCAGTATTTATACCTGCATGGAAAATGTTATATTTTCATTGAGAAATATATAGTCCTTTTACTTTCCAAGTGAAATGGTTCAGTGATAATAAGTTTGTAGAAAAAATATTGTGTTGAGATAAGCATCAATAAGCACCTTCTGGCCAGGTATGGTGGCTCAGGCCTATAATCCTAGCACTCTGTGAGACCAAGGTGGGAGGATCTCCTAAACCCAGGAGTTTCAGGTTTGCTGTGAGCTAGGCTGATGCCATGGCACTTGAGCCCAGGTAACAGAGTGAGACTCTGTCTCAAAAACTCAAAAAAAAAAAAGCACTGGCCGGGCGTGGTGGCTCACGCCTGTAATCCTAGCATTTTGGGAGGCCGAGGCGGGCAGATTGCTCAAGGTCAGGAGTTCGAAACCATCCTGAGCGAGACCCCGTCTCTACCAAAAATAGAAATAAATTAATTGACCGACTAAAAATATATATACAAAAAATTAGCTGGGCATGGTGGCGCATGCCTGTAGTCCCAGCTACTCAGGAGGCTGAGCCCCGGAGATTGAGGTTGCTGTGAGCCAGGCTGATGCCACGACACTCACTCTAGCCTGGGCAACAAAGTGAGACTCTGTCTCAGAAAAAAAAAAAAAAAAGCACCTTCTTACTCCCTTGATTTTCTGAATATTAAATGGACAGCTAAATATTTGGTTTTTACCAGGGTGGACACCAGATTATTCCTATGCAACGTGTAGATAAGGCTTAGATAAAATATATCATATGCTATCTCTTATCAAGTATGTGTAAGTGATTTGCGAAACATACAAATTAAGAAAGGCAGGCAGGCCAGGTGCTAGATGGAGGCTGAGAAAGGACTGTCCCAGCCTAGGAGTTCTAGGCTGTAGCAGGCTGACTACCTTTGAACAGCCATTGCACTCCAGCCTGGGCAACACACAGTAAGACTCCTGTCTCTAACAAAAAAAAGCAAAACAAAACAGCCGGAGAAAATCCAAGAACTCGAAGTCACTTAAAGGGCTACCATTAATAAGCAACTATAAAGGTTCATGATCCCAATTTACTGTCAATTTTCAAATACATTTTAATCACTTCTCAGCCTTTTGGCTAAAATCACATGTAGTATTTTAATGAGATCTACTAACTCCTATTTAAGAAAACATGACCTTTCTGGCCTGGCACGATGGCTCACGCCTGTAATCCTAGCACTCTGGGAGGCCGAGGCAGGCCGATTGCTTGAGGTCAGGAGTTCGAAACCAGCCTGAGCAAGAGCAAGACCCTGTCTCTACTATAAATAGAAAGGAATTAATTGGCCAACTAATATATATAGAAAAAATTAGCCTGGCATGGTGGCGCATGCCTGTAGTTCCAGCTACTCGGGAGCCTGAGGCAGGAGGATCACTTGAGCCCAGGAGTTTGAGGTTGCTGTGAGCTAGGCTGTCGCCATGGCCATGGCACTCACTCTAGCCTGGGCAACAAAGTGAAATTCTGTCTCAAAAAAAAAAAAAAAAGAAAGACAGACAGACAGACAGACAGAAAGAAAGAAAAAGAAAACATGACATTCCTAACCTTAGATACCAATGCAAAAATCAGGGGCTTGCTTTTTTTCACTGGGCAAATGGATGTTGAGAAAAAAAACTAGGGAAATACTAGGTATGAGAAAGAATTCCTCATATTCAACTTACCACCATTACTTTCCTCAGTTTTCGAAGAAACAGCAGAGGTTAAATAAAAAGCATTTGCTTTGGAGGCAATCTAACCCGGATTAGAATCCATCTCTAGCATATACTCATTTGTTCTTACCTCATCTTTTAAAATAGGAATAGTATCGACCTAGTCGAATTACAGGAAAAGTGGATTAAATTGGGTAATATTTGTAAGGCATTCCATGCATCAGAGCATTAAGAGTAACCTGGGAGAGGTGAGAGAATTCTCTAAACATAGAAACCCCAAATACTCCAGAGTTAAGTAAGGCCCAGTTAGTTTGGTGTAAAGGGCCCTGAATTAGTATTCAGGGGACCAGCAGGCTAAGCCGCATATTTTCCCCATTTGGCAAGTCTTCCATATTTCTGTCTTTTCATCCACAAAACCAGGGTGGATAAAAACTCTATGAATCTGCAGTTCCTGTGTCCCAGGCTCAATGGCACAAGAGGCTCACGAGGCCTGGACGCACCGGACGCGCCCTGCTCGGGCAGCCCCTGGGTCACGCGGCCGGGGGTCAACCCGTCCCGGGCCTAGGGTCGGCGGCGGCGCCTGCCAACGAGAGCGCGCTCGCGAGTGGGCCGGGGTGCCGGCGCCACGCCCTGCCCGGCCGCCGGCAGCCTGCGCGCCCGGCCCCGCTCCCCCGGGCCGGGCCGCCGCGGTGGGGGAGGCGGCGGCTCCGCCGGGGTGCAGCGCTCTTCCAGCGGGAGGACCTCCCCAGGGGTGGCCCGCGCGGAGCGCCCTCCGTGCCCACCGGCCTGCGGGGGCCCGGCAGGGAGCCCGCGCTCGGGGACGCGCCCGCGCCTCTTCGCGGAAGAGCCGGAGCCGCGCGCCGGGCGGACGCGCGGGTCACGTCCCTCCCGGCGGCCCGGGTCCCCCGAAGCGCCCGCCCGTCCGCCCGCGCCGCGCTGCGGTTTCGGGCGCGCGGAGCAGCCGGCAGGCGGCGGGGCCGGGCTGGAAAGGGGCCGCGGGAGCCGCGGCCGCTCAGGGCCGGGGAGAGGAGGGCGCGCCCCGGCGGCGGGAGGCCGCGCGCACATAACGGGGCGCCGGCCGGACCTCACCCAGGATCTCCTGGCGCCGACTGGCGTGGGGCTGGTCGGTGTAGACCCACTCGAAGTCTTCCCGCGAAACGCGGCTCCCCATGGCGGCAGCGGCTCCCGGCTCTCGCTCCCGGCCGGCTCTGCGCGGCGGCGGCGGCGGCGGCGGAGGCGGCGGCGGCGGCGGCGGCTCGAGTCCGCCCGCGGAGGCCCGGCCGGCTGAGGAGACCGCGGCGGGGCGGAGTCCCGAGGCCCCGCCCGCCGGCCGCGCCCGCCCGCCGGCCGCAGGGCGAGGGCGCGCCGACTGGAAGCCGCGGCCCTGGACTCGGCCGGCGGCGGGATGCCGGGGTCTGCGGCTCCGGCTCCCTCCAGCCCGCCTGCGCCGGTGCCGGGAAAGGTGAGAAAGGAAGCAGAGGCGTGCGGCCAGAGGCCCGCGGCCCGCGCGCCTCAGGGGGCGGAGTGGCCCGGAAGGCTGCGGCTCCCGCGAGTGGCAGGGTCCTTGGCTGTTAATAAATGGCAGCTGGTCCAAGTTCTGCTTAATTTTTAAGAGCAAGTTATTCATTGAGTCATTTTTGGCTGCCTTCTGGAAATAATACCTCAGGGGAAAAAATGCGGCGTGTGTGGCAATTAAAAGCTATTCAAGAAAAAAGAAAACGCTAGTGTTGAGAGAAGGGAAAATGATAAGGACTTTGTTGTTTTGCTTGAATTATTCTAGTTTCTCTTACAAGATGGTTGCTCAACCTTGCGTCTGTCATTGAAGTTATCAAACACAGCCTCTTCCTGAAAGAGGGGAAGTTTTGTTTCATAATTAGTTTCTACCTCTAAATCAAAGAGCAACTTCGACTAAGATTGCAAAAAGGCAACCAAACCTGGTGTGCCTTGTAATAAAAGAATTTGCTGTGCGCGCACACACACACACACACACCCCGCGCAAATCTGATCAAGCCCTTAGATCCGAAAGTTAGTGTACAGGAAATAAGAATGACAGAGCAACACGTTAAACTGGCCACAGGGATGCAATCAGCAAGATCCAACTGTGGGAAACGCTATAGGACAACCTCCTGGGTTCTTTAATAAATAAAATACAAGGGGAAATGGGAAACTTGATTAAAACGAGTTTAAAAGACATAATAACCAATTGCAGTGTGTTGACCTTATTTAGATTCCGATTCAAAGAGTCAAATTTGGCCAGGCGTGGTGGCTCGCGCCTGTAATCCTAGCACTGTGGGAGGCCGAGGCGGGTGGATTGCTTGAGGTCAGGAGTTCGAAACTACCCTGAGCGAGACCCCGTCTCTACTAAAAATAGAAAAAAATTAATTGACCAACTAAAAATATATATACAAAAAATTAGCCGGGCATGGTGGCGCATGCCTGTAGTCCCAGCTACTCGGGAGGCTGAGGCAGGAGGATCGCTTGAGTCCAGGAGATTGAGGTTGCTGTGAGCTAGGCTGACGCCACGGCACTCGCTCTAGCCTGGGCAACAAAGCTAGACTCTGTCTCAAAAAAAAAAAAAAAAAAAGAAAGAAAGAAAAAAATTATTGTTGACCGGGCGTGGTGGCTCATGCCTGTACCTAGCATTCTGGGCGGCCGAGGTGGGAGGATCGCTTGAGCCCAGGAGTTTGAGGTTGCTGTGAGCTAGGCTGACGCCACGGCACTGTAGCCAGGGTGACAGAGCAAGACCCTGTCTCAAAAGAAAAAAACACAAAACCTTAAACCAAAACCAAATAAATTATGATACATGTAATTAACCATACAATGTTATACTATGGCACCACTTTAAAAATGCAGAAGTTCTTTGTGTATTAATATGAATTGACCAGAATGTACTAATAAATGCAAAACACCAGGTATGGGAGGATGGAGACTGTGTTCAAATTTCCTTGGAAATGCATAAAATATGTTTGGAAACACACCCAAGAAATGGTTACATTGTAAGAGAGAAAGTAGGAGTCCAGGGGAGAGGGCTGGGAAGGAATTTTTTCCTGAAATCCCTTTGTGTCTTTACATTTGAATTGAAAAAATGCAGATTTGAGGGTAAAATGTGGATTTTGACATTCTAAAGAAAAATATTTGAGCTACAGGATTGTTGTGGGGATTGATAACTATTTTAATTACATCTAGACATGCCACACTTCTATAGTTTAGACTTTTATTATTTATTTACTTTCTTTTTTTTGTGAAGAATGAGGGCATGGATCTTGCTACTTGGACTTTTAAAAGTTCTTAATGTGTGTGTACAAGAAAGTAAACCAAGAAAAGTATAAATAAAATGCTTTAGAGTTAAAAAAAATTCTTGGCCGGGCGCTGTGGCTCACGCCTGTAATCCTAGCTCTTGGGAGGCCGAGGCGGGCAGATTGCTCAAGGTCAGGAGTTCAAAACCAGCCTGAGCAAGAGCGAAACCCGCTCGTCTGACTATAAATAGAAAGAAATTAATTGGCCAACGATATATATATATAAAATTAGCCGGCATAGTGGCGCATGCCTGTAATCCAGCTACTCGGAGGCTGAGGCAGAAGGCTCACTCGAGCCAGGAGTTTGAGGTTGCTGTGAGCTAGGCTGACGCCACGGCACTCACTCTAGCCTGGGCAACAAAGCGAGACTCTGTCTCAAAAAAAAAAAAAAAAAAAAAAAAATTCTTAATGGGTTATCTAGCTTTCACATCTTGTCCTCACTCTTGCCAAGTAATATGCTTTGAGGCAAACATACCAGTTAAGCTGGAAAGATACTATCCAGTCTGTTGTTAAAAGCCATGGTGAATCCTAATAGGCCTCAATGATATTAGGAAATCTCAGATGAAGTAATTTTGGGATGCAGGCAGACATGCTCTTTTTTTGAGACAGTCTCACTCTGTTATCGTGCTAGAGTGTTGTGGCGTCGGCTTAGCTCACAGCAACCTCAAACTCCTGGGCTCAAGCAATCCTGCCTCAGTTTCCCAAGTAGCTGGGACTACAGGCATGCGCCACCATGCCTGGATAATTTTTTTCTATATACTTTTAGTTGGCCAATTAATTTCTATCTATTTTTAGTAGAGATGGGGGTCTCGCTCTTGCTTAGGCTGGTTTCGAACTCCTGACCTTGAGTGATCCTCCCGCCTTGGCCTCCCGGAGTGCTAGGATTACAGGCGTGAGCCACCGCACCCGGCCCAGGCAGACATACTTTTGAAATCAATGTGGTTGATTTTTTTCATTTATTTGATTTTTAAAAATTTTTACTTCAGAATATTATGAGGGTATAAACGTTTGGTTACATAAATTGCTTTTGTACCATTTGAGTCAAAATTAGCATACCTGTTCAGTATGAATTTACCCATCTTCTCCTCATCCCCCCTTCCTGCTTGATTTCTGATGAGTGTTATTTCCATATGTGCACATAAGTGTTGATCAATTAGTTCCCATTTAATACTGAGTACACGTGGTGTTTGTTTTTCTAATCTTGTGATACTTCACTTAGAAGAATGGTCTGCAGCTCCATCCAGGTTAATACAAGAGATATTACTTCACCATTTTGTTATGCCTGAGTAATACTCCATGGTATACATACACCACATTTTATTAATCCACTTATGTATTGATGGGCACTTGAGTTGTTTCCACATCTCTGCAAATGTAAATTATGCTGCTATAAACATTCAGGTGCAGGTGTCTTTTCTATAAAATGTCCTTTTTTCCTTTGGGTGAAAACTCAATAGTGGGATTGCTGGATCAAATGGTAGGTCTACTTCTAGCTCGTTGAGGTATCTCTATACTACTTTCCATAGAGGTTGTACTAGTTTGCAGTCCCACCAGCAGTGTAGGAGTGTTCCTCTCTCTCTGCATCCATGCAAGCATTGTTCTTTTGGGACTTTTTGATAAAAGCCATTCTCACTGGAGTTAGGTGATATCTCATTGTGATTTTGATCTGCGTTTCCCTAATGACTAGAGATGTTGAGCATTTTTTCATGTTTGTCTCCATTAGTCTATTTTCTTTTCAAAGGTTTCTTTTCATGTCTTTTGCCCACTTTGTAATGGGTTATTTGATTTTTTTCTTTCTGATTTGTTTGAGTCATTTATAGATTCTGGTTAAGTTACAATTAATTTTTTCAAGTAAGCTCACTTTTCTGTGGCTAAATGTCTGACAGTAATTTGAGACAGTGCAAATAGTTCTGTTCTTATTTTTCATTTTCATAGGTGTAAGGATTGAGAAACCATGTTTATATAAATAAGTAAAATAAAATGGCAGTTTTATTATACCAATATCATCAATTCCTTAACTTTTCATAAATCCTATGATGCACTAAGTTAAACATTACTTTTAGGGCCAGATAGGGAGGTTCACACCTGTAATCCCAGCACTTTGTGAGGCCAGGGTTGGGGGATCTCTTGAGGCCAGGAGTTTGAGACCTGCCTGGGCAATACAGCGAGACCACATCCCTACAAAAAATTTAAAAATTAGCCAGCCATGGTGGTGCTCGCCTGTAGTCTCAG